CATAACGAATAGATGGCATCACTTTACGAAATCGGTGTTTTTTTCGAGAGATGTTGTTATATTACGAAACTGTAGAGAAAATCATGATTAATTTAAATCGTGATTAAGCCTACACATCCATTTAGATAATTTGATTCTCTGGTCTGTTCTCCACATCTGCATTCGTGAGCGTCTTTTTCAGTGGATGATCAGAGAACCAGATATCATATAAATTAATATGCTACACTTCCAATATGTTAAATACTCATAATTGAACATTCTCTATGCATGCTATGTCATTGTTGCAGTCATATCTGAGCATTTTTTATGTGTTGTGTTTCTTTTATAAAACAGTGAAGAAGACAATCAAGAAATCTTATGCTTGGAATAGTTCTACCTAATAGACAATGCACGATAGGGACGAACTAAGTTGTTCAATGACCTGTTACAGATTTTTCTGAAATTATCAGAGCAGATAGAGAAACGTGTCCGGAACATATTTGTCCCTTAACATTTTTTTCCGAAATGCTTTCTCTCGACGCTAGAGCGCTTGCAAAGAAAGTCGTAAAATACGGAAAAAAAGCAATTTTTCAGTCGAAAATTTTGCTTACGCTATAACTCCATCAAATCAAATGCTAATGAGCTTGAATTTTTATCAGAGGTGTCTTGCTATGAGTACTATCTATGATAAAAATTTGAACTTGTTTGAGTTAAGCGTTCTCCAGAAATAGTTCATTCTTTAGACATAGACAAAACGTCATCGGCCGTTTTGCAAAGTGGTTTTTGCAACGGAAGATGATCCGTTTGAAGGACTCTCTATGGTTTCGTGAAGTAGACCCAGAGTACTACCATGAACCGTCGTCGAATTTTTGGGAAATAATGGAAAACACTCGGGAGCCTCTTGTCAAAAACGGTCGACGCACGTCGGAAAAACCTGAAAATTTTTCTTTCAAAATCCATTGAATTATATACCATTCGACGCAGAGTTTTGTTCTGCATCTGAATATGTATAAATAAAGATTCCACAGTACATAGAAAAGGAGAAAAACACCAAAAATTTCGAATTTTCCAAGGTTTTCCACCTTCTGCTGGACTAAAATGCTTTTTTATTGAAAATACTCTTTTTTATACTTCATCCGACGCATAACTCAGTGCTGATTTCGAATATCTATGCTGCAAGGTTTCAAGATCAACAGACATGACAGGAAACTCGATTTACCCAAGGTTTTTTGAGATTCAGCTGCAGTAAAAAGTTATTTTAAGTCAAAGTTATCACCTTTTACACTTCATCAATGAATAGCGGCAAAAATCTCAGATTTACGCAGATTTCTGGCTTCTAGCTGTGCTAAAACGTATTTTTAGTTGGAATAGCCTGTCTTGTACTAACTTCGCACTATCCTCGCTGACCTCAAAATTTTGGCTAGGCCCGCGTTATATAAAAAAGTGGCGCATGGCACTTTATCTTGTCTATAAACTTCAACTCACTGTTCTGTTTCATAGAAGCCGTTTACACTGGAAAAGTTTCACAAAAGCTAGTTTAAAAGTTTCTAAACTAAGCATGTGATGACGAAAGCCTCTTAGGTAGAACTATTCCAAGCATAAGATTCCTTGATTGTCTTCTTCACTGTTTTATAAAAGAAACACAACACATAAAAAATGCTCAGATATGACTGCAACAATGACATAGCATGCATAGAGAATGTTCAATTATGAGTATTTAACATATTGGAAGTGTAGCATATTAATTTATATGATATCTGGTTCTCTGATCATCCACTGAAATAGACGCCCACGAATGCAGATGTGGAGAACAGATCAGAGAATCAAATTATTTGAATGGATGTGTAAAATGTCTGTAATTATCTGTAAATGTGTGTACGGGAGCGGCGTTGTTGGTAGTAGGAGTGAGCTCTAAAAATCTAGATGGAACAGTAGTGCTCTAAAGACATGTGGGTATACGACAGATAATCAATTATCAGTGAATCAGATAATCACAAATTATATCGTACATATTGAGACTATGTCATGACCTCGTCGCTGGCGGCTCATTATACGGCAGTAAACGATTAAAAACGGCATCATTACGGTCGTAAACGGTGAAATACTAACCGTTAACGGTCCGTATCTCTCTACTACTGCCGTTTATGAACCTTTGTTGGACCTGGCGTGTTGAAAAGATGAATTTAACTTTTAGGTTTTGAAACAATTCGCTCGCAGGTCATTGGTTACGGTGGCCATATACGGCGAATTACGACTGTGTACTATAACGTAACACGCTGTAAATGACTGTAGCTTGACGTAATTTGGCCATAATCATATGCTCCCTAACACTGCAGCCGTAAACAACCTTTTACGAGACCGTTTACGATTATAATGGACCCGAATACACTCGGTCACGGCGGCAGTATTACGGAGCATAGGATAACGGCGTTGTAGATCGATCTTACGGCCGTTTACGGGCCGTGTTGAATCATCTAGGCTAATTCTTTCTGGGATTTCTGACTATAAGACGAGCAAACCCATCTGAAATGTCCCACGTCGTACTAAAGTTTTTCCGCTTCACTTAAGACCAATCTAGTTTTATAGAGCACCTCAAATTATGTAAGAAATTGTCTTTTCTGACTTCATAGCTGATGCAGAACCGAGAAAAACGACTTTTACTGTGCTGATCAATTCGCACTGAGAGTGGCGCTGAATCCGATATTTTTGTTGGGAGAGCAAAAGTCGTTTTTCTCTGGTTCTGCATCAGCTATGAAGTCAGAAAAGACAACTAACAACGACACCTATCAATGTATGTCAGAATTAGGGCAATTGTTCAGTAAAAACACCAATTTCAAACTATTTATCCTTTCGGGAAAATCTGGATTTTGAAACAGATGGGTTTTTTCTTTTTCAAAAATGGACAAAACTCATTTTTATTTGAAAAGAATTAATTTCCTTCTCCTTACTATACAAACGTTCCTTAAACATGATGTGTACCTTGTAATTTTTTTGACAAGTTTTTATTCTTGCGTAGCAACTCGCATTTTTGTTTCTTCAGTGGAGAGATTCTCAAATATCTCTTTTCCGATACAGTTTGAGAATTCGGATTTTTGAGCATTAACGCAGGAAATGCAATCACTGAATATTAGATTTCCTCCCCTAGTGATCTAACGGACATGCAATGTCGTTGCTACGGATTCCGTCGAATTTTTGGGGCAGTTTTATTTACTTGGACTACACTTAGACTACATTAGTGATTTAGTCTAAGTGTAGTCCCAGTGCATTTAGCCCATTACAAGCTCAATTTTATTTTGAATGGATAATTATTGATTAGAATTCTTTTGCAATGTATTGAAAGCAAGATAAAACTGCCCTAAAAAAACGTCTAAGAATCACGAAAGGAAGCACTTTTTTTTCTTGGCCGTTAGACCATAGAGAATGTCCAGTTTATCTGGTCTTGAGAACAGGGTACAGACTTATTTACTCATAGTTGGCTGTTTCCTGTTTTTATTTTCTTGTCCTGATCAGCTCCAAGACCAGACCAAGAAAGTGATAAGAATAGGTCAAGAAAATCTGTCTTTTCTGCTGATCAGATAAACAGTAAGTTTAAATCCAGGGATCATAGATCTTCTGATTTTACCAGAAAAATTCTGATTTTTGGACCTTTTTCTGCCTCGTTTCTGCTCGTCTACTGCTTTTCTGATTTTCTACTTTTTCTCAGATTTTTCTGATTTTCGTGTTTTGGATCTGGGATCCCAGCTTAAACTTATTATCACAAACCAAACTTATTATCCCAAAGCTGAACATTTTCCTTTAGCTATTCTGGATATCAATAATGGGCCTTTCTCAAGAAGTGTGCATCGGATATGAGTACTTCTCTGATGTATAGGCTCAATTAATTTAATAATTGAGAAGAGCATAGGAATAGAAAACTTCATCCAAGATAAAAAATTTCTTGACTGAAGTCCCAGAGCTTATTATTAACTTCTTAAAAACAGATCGAACATAGTTCAACACTATGGCGGGAAAATGCAAGGAGGATTTACACGAGGCATTAGAGAGCCGAAATTGCTGTATACTCGTACGGAATCCTTTGTCTTTGATGTATGAATTTCGTAAAAACATGTCCTTTTCATTTGCAGATAAAGATTGTGACATCCTAAACCGATCATGGGGCTGATAAATTTGATTCAAAAACTGTTTACATCATGTTCTCGAAGAAAAGTCCGAGTAAAACATGATGTAATCAAACCTGAAAAAGCTATAGTCACTTTTAACGCCGAAGTATAGTTAAATGCTGATGACTATCCAAAAGCAGGTCCTGTTCTTGATTTCTTTTACTGATCAGAAAGAAAACAGATCCTGACCAAGAAAACAAGACAAAGACTTTTTTACTTACAGTTTGCTGACCACTCGTCTGATCAGGGGAACTGGACGTTCTCTAGGGTCCTAATAAAGCTAATGATTTTTTATTCGTAATCCCATACTAATGAAGAAACTCTACTATTATCTTTTAAACTTTAAAATCGAAATAAATTTATTTACTAACTACAGTCTCATGGTAATTGCTCACAAGAGTAGATAAACTATGAGTTTCTTTTGTTACTTAGACTGAGAATGCTTTTTCTTAGTACTAGTAGATTCGATCAAACTACAAAGTCGACTTTTTCTTTCTATGACAGCAGTGTGGGATTCCTGAATTCCGGCAAAATTCCTTGTATAATAATTCGGCTTAAACAGACCAATTCCGGAATTCCAACTGGAATTCTATCTTGAGTCGAAGAAAATTTTTTATACAGAAACCGGAATTCTAGAATTCTAGAGTAATTCCTCTGTAGCACTGGTTGAGAATTCCCACATTCTTCGTTAGAATTTTTTCGTGAACAATTGTTCAGAAAGCCTTTTTTACACCACAATTCGGGTATTAGAATATTTTTATTCTCTGTTGAATGTAATTTTCCTTATAGAAATCAGAATTTCGAACAAGAAAAAGAATATAGAATGTTTTTGTCAAATATTGATAATTTGGGTGCAACAATTGATTTGTGTAAGTTAAAATACTATTGTAAAAGAGTAAAATTTGAAAGTCATCTTTTTTTTTGGTAATACAAACAGGTATATTGAAACATTTATTAACAAGCGAACCAAAACATGAATTTGTAATAGAAGTTACGGATAAAACACGTGTTGATATCAAAGTAAGATTGATGTCAAATTCGTCCCGGCTTTTTATATGTATGAATAATATTTTACATTCAACTTTAGGATCGTACTCTTATTCAATATCAAGAAAAATTATGTCTTCTTGGAATTGCTCAAGTTCCACCAGAACATGTACAAATACGTTATTTATTTCTCTCATTGATTTGATTAGTAACAAAGGTGAGAAAATCACTTTTGATTATCAAGAAAATTATATCAATTTCTGCTCTTTTTAGATATATCACCCAGTAGTCCGTTGATCGAAAGAACATCAAGTGAAAGATTTCTTGTCATTGTTTGCAAGTATTTCCGATTGTCTTGAACTCAATAGTTTAACAGTATCTGACGATGTTACATTTGGAAGAAGATGTCTTATCGCTAAAAATAAGTAATTATCTAATTATCATACCGTTCAATATCTTTGACTGAGCTCGACCCTATCGAGTAGAAATTTCAACTAATCCCCGTCCTTATCTCGAGTTATTCCACAACTTTATATTTTTATTCTTTTTAGGACATGGTGATTGTTATTGCTAATCATCGAGAACGTATTGATATATCATAGGGTGCAATACTTGAAAATAAAATTGTATCAGACAATTTACGTACATTGGACCATTAGACATGTGTGTAGATATAAACTTTTGATCGTATGTTTTTTACGTTCACTTCAATAAATATTTCAAGAAAATATTTCATCCGCAATGTGTCTATCTTCTGTACAATTGTTAAAATCGTTTTCTGTGTGTTTGAATGATTTAATATCACAAACTAAAAAAAAATCGTTTTTTATTACTATTCTCTAAAACGTATGTAACTATGCAGTGTTTTGACATTTTATTACTAACTAGCCGAGCTACCTACTTTTCTGTCATTTTGTTGTTGTTTTTTTATTTAGTTTAAATTAAAAAATAAGGTGTATTATGTTTTTACTTTTTTTATTGTGAATAAACAAACAAACATGAAATTATAGTCATTTTGTAAATAATAAAAAATTCAGATAAAATAGATGCAGTGTACTTTGAAAGAATGAGTTTGAGAAAAACTAATACAAAATTTGATGAAATAAAACGTTTATGACCAGTTGTCATCTTCTTTTATGACAAATATGGTAAAAGTAAAATAAAGGGATTTATTTATTAATTTTTTTGTAGAAGAAAAACAGCTACTACTAACAGCTACTAGAATAATAAATGAATGGCTCCATTTCCATTGATTAAACTCGGAATTGTCTTTTTTAAACAAATATCAAAACCGCTTGCCGCACAGATTAAAAACAGAGCAAAGGAAAGTGAATTTTTTAAAAAGTATATCTGTATGCCACCAGCGCAATGTAAGTGTGTGTACTCTTTTTCATAGTTATCTATATGAATATAATTATATTTATTTCATGTAGTTTATCATTGGTATGACGTTAATTTACGAATGCGAATGCTTGGTATTAATACAAAAGGCGAGTAAATCTTACTTTTATTATGACAAATCGTGCAAAAGTTACATTTCGTTTTGCTCTTCTTTCTAGGTAAAGTCGCGAAGATGAATGAACAAGCGGCTGTCGATTTGGGTGCTGATATTTTAGGCGAAGGTAACTGTTCTTTTCGAGTTCTTATATGGATTCGTACAAATAATGTCTATTTTTTGATATCTTTTAAGGAGTTATTATTTCAGTTGCTATAGCGGGTTAGTTTCAATTAAGTTTTCGTCACATTTTAAGAGACTGCATTCATTCATTCATTCAATCTAGGTCTGTATCTTGAATATTGGAGAAGATCCAAAAATGATACGGATAAAGAGACTCGTGCACTAGATCGTTTAGCAAGAATTGGTATGATTATATATTTCTAGACTGACAACTTCTAATTGTACGATATCTTTTAGAACAACAATTATCTGAAGTAGGAATTAATTTAACAAATCAATCAGCAAAATTGACTGAACTCGAACGTTTAATTCATCATTCTCCTCCAGCAAAACAAAATTCACCGGCACCATCAGCAGTCTCAAATCTAAAAGGTATCATCAAAAATGCAGTTCAATTATCATCCGTTATTGAAAAAGTCCAACCAACAGCATCAGCACCTATTTTACAAATCGATACAAATCAATTATTAGTTATGATTCTGTTTTTGAGTTATACAATTAGAGACCAAATTGATAAAGGAAAAGAATTTGTGTACCGTCTAAAGCGGTCAAGATAGAAACAATATATATGCGCACTGGAATGTATTTTATGTAGTATTCACATAGATTTTTCCTTTTATGAAACCTGTCATTTTTTAAATAATAAGAAAATCCGAAACAGTCAGGAAACGGGGAAGGCGAGAAAGATAAACTAACATGTTGAAGACTAAAAACCTCATCACCCTACCATTGAATTCGATCTTTTCAAACCCACCCGTTCATCAAGAATTATAGAAATCAAGGCCTTTCTTGAACAGACAAAATTATTTGTAATCATTTAGGCTTCTTGTCTACGCTGTGTACAGCTACGTAGTATGTGGTGTGTATCATTTTCCTTTTTTCATATTTCATTGATTTTCTAACACTGGAGGATCTTACCTGTTTTTGTATTGGGTAAGTTTTTGACTAATTACTGTCACACAACCCACCTGTACCTTGATCAGAATGGTCACGGTAATCTCTAGGTGTGAAAGCCACAAACGTCGGTCACTTTGACGTGGACTGTGTCACTTTACGTGTAGCTTTCAAGCACGATTTGCTGTGACCGATTAAAGTAAACAAAAATAAGCATACGAACATTTTCTGACTCATCTGTCTGTTATTGTCACGGCAATGTCTAATTTCGTTTGTTGTTGGGATACCTAGAAAATGTCTAGAGGTTGTTTCATCAATATTCTCAAGTTTAGAAACTTATCCACAGGCTTAAATCAACGCCTAGTTAGTTTTAGTCTGTCAGTTTGAATCATCGACTTAAAACAACCCTAAAGATGTCTTAAATCAATGCTTAGGATCATATTCCATGAAATTAAGGTACATTTAAGTCAAAACGAAGACTGAAATCGAGAACTAGAATTTTTGATGGTACACCAAGAATTAAGTTAATCGTTAGCTAAAATTGAGTTGAAGTTCTTATCGATGTTTAAATTTAACAGTTACACTGACAAAACTGCACTGGTTAAATAATCATACTATTCAGTTTATGATATCGTACTCACAGTTGAATCATTAACTCAGTTTAGAAGAAAATTACTTCGTTTCTTTCATACTGGAGTTAAGTGAGCCCAAATCTTCGTATGACAATCAACAGTCTGCTCCTTCTAGTTATGTCACAGTTCGATAAACTCTTTTAATTCAAATTGAACTAAATTTTCATTGCTTTGTTTAAATGAATTATAGATTAAAAAATATTTTGTGTAATATAAAATTGATTAGTTTAATATGTCTGGTTCTTATACTGAGCAGTTGAATCATTCGTCACCATCTAGTGAATTGACAAGCTCAAAAATACTTACTAATAGAAGTAAAGACAATGTATTAGAAAAAATTGATGATCTAAAACGATCACATAGTCGTAAGCGTTTTGAATATGAACGAGCTCCAGTTTATGGAGAAATAATTGAAAAAAATGGTATAAGAGAACGGTTTAATGGCAGCATGTTTCGACGTATGTGCTCAAAATCTAATTGTACTTATCATACAGCAAGATTAGGTTTATGCAAGAAACATTTATTTGAAACACAAATTCAAAATCATCCAACAACACCCTCGTTGACAATGACATTCACAAAAGCACTGAAAGGTGAAATTCGAATGATGAATAATGGAATAAAAATGAAATTTGATGGAAAAAAATTTCGAAGAATTTGTTCTGAGAACAATTGTATATTATTTATATCCGGTCGGTATTATAGCAGCCGTCTATGTCCAAAACATTATAATCAAACAAAGTCTAAACATCCACAAAAACTTGTTCAATCAACATCCACAACAAGAACACAAACACAACGTAGACGTACACCCGCATTAAAACGAACAAAAAAACATTCCGTCATGCCTGTGAATATGAACGACCCCAATCTAAAACACCCGAAAGCAGGAGATATTACTGATATGACAGATGGTACACGAAGAAAATACAGTGGAGGAGCTTGGCGACTACTGTAAGTAGAGCTTAGTTGCCCTATACTGTATGTATGTCTTATTTTATTTAAAATAAATTTAGATGTGTACGTCAAGATTGTCCTTGTTTTGCTGTTTCTCGACGTCAATGTCGAAAACATGGAAAAGAAAAAATAACTAAAGCAGTAATTAGTGAAACACATCAAATTACTGGAAATCAACCGTTAATATCAACATCAGCTTTGACAGTAACAAGTACAAACACTTCCACTAATTCAGTTCTACATCCAAACAAAGGTGACATACAAGTACTTCGACAAATGTTTGATGGTCGTTCATGGCATTCACTTTGCCGAAATAGTACATGTTTAAAACGAGCGACACAGAATAGTGGCTTTTTATGTGCTGCACATCTTAAAGAAGCACGAAGAATTGTTAATGATGATACAAGAATACCAAGACGAGGAAGAAAACGAAAAATGGGTATTAATACAAATGAAAATGATTTGACCGAGATCGGATATAATTTGAGAAAAGTTCAAAAGTGTAAGGATTATTTACACAAGTTTTTAACTTCGTGAATAAATTGTTTTTATTCTTTTCAGTGAGATTAAATGGTGACACCGTTTGTGATCAGCATGAATTTGTTTTATCGTTAAATACTCTGGATGAACAACAATCAACGGTAAGGTATAAAAAAATAGATTAATAGCTAGCAATAGGGAAATTGTGGGATCGATCCTCCCCTCCAAAAAGATTTTTGCTATCAATTTCTAAGGTCATTGTTACAATGACCCTAGAAAAAAAAAAACTATTGAAAATCGATAAAAAGAAATTTGATCCCCCCTCTCCGAAAATCCTGGCTGAGTCACTGTAGTTTAGTTACAATCTTCCAGTTCTTCTCTAGCACGATTACATTTAGGATGTAAGAGGTGTATTTTTCTATAACAGAACTGGACTGATCATTTTTTTTATCCACATATTTAGATTCGTACAAATTCAGCAATAGATAAATCTAAACTAATCGAACAGTCTGCTCAAACTGATATAACCTATCCATACCAAACTCAAGCAGAAACACATCTCGTATTGATCGATGATGATGATGATGATGATGATGAACAATCGACGTTGACAACAGCTCAGTTTCCACTTTATTTAAAAAAAGAAGAGGCAACTGTACGTTCAGTGTTTTTACTATATTGTTTTTCAATGTTGTAAAGTCTTTTTCTCTTATTTTTAAGGATGAACATTTAATATTACCATCAACAACTACGCCAACAATTCCTTATTATCCTTATCCGGATATTCAAGAATTAAAACCAACACCTGATCTTAAGTCAGAATATTGATAGTGTATGTGTGCGTACGGACAGTGCGTTACTTAGGAAAAATAATGATCTGAGATTATATCAAATACGTTTTTTGTGGATGTTCCAATTCCGTCGAAAATACTGTCCAATTTTATGTGATATAGGTTCAAAGCTAAAAACTTTGCCATTTTTTCACTCGATATAGAAACTAAACTATGTCTATATGTGTAATACTCTGTAAATGAATGCCTGCAACTAGCTACTCGTCAATTATAACACCTACTGACATTAACTTTTGTGTGGTTGCAGTTATCAGTGAAAACGCTGATCATCTATCAGATACAAGGGATTCATTTCTGTCAAGTACAATGAATTTCTTTTATGAAAAAGACTTCAAAGTTTCAAAGTCGTTCCCTAGGTAACTTTTAACAGCCAATACGTTGAGTTTATGTCAAAAATAGAAGGAAGTCACAGCTACATTCTAATGCAAATACAGTGGTCATCCTCATCAAGAGGATCATCTTTTGACGAATTAGCATTTTACTTGAAAGAAATGAATCTTTTATATCTAATAGATGATCAACGTTTTCACTGATAACTGCAACCACACAAAAGTTAATGTCAGTAGGTGTTATAATTGATGAGTAGGTCTAGTTGAAGGAATTCATTTACTTTCATTTACTTTTATAGAATATTGTATTCATTTTCTTCTATTCTTTTAAAATAGCAACTCATTTGATTTCTTGTTCTGTCATTATATTTAAATTTTCGTTTCATTTATTCGTGGTTCTGCCACGTAATAAATGTATCTCATTAGTATTCTCTTCCCAACGGTGGCTATTTTTTTTTGTGTTGTTAATACTATTGTCTTATTGTTCCGTTGTTAATTGATAATTAAAACTTATTATGTTCATGTTTCGTGAATATCTTGCATATATTTTTCTACGTGTGTATTTTTTTGTTAAGATTGATTAACTTTTCACAATAGAGACAGAGCGAATGCATTTCAAAGCTCGACAAAATTCGCATGTTTATGTTTGCATGATTACTAGTGAGTCGATTCTAAAAATAATAGTGTAACTGTTTTATCTGTTACATTTAAAAAATACTGGTGAACTTTTAATAATAAATTATGTTCATTGTTGTTGTTGTTTTTTGTCATTTATCTGTTTGATTGAGAGACATAAAAACTTTGCTTTTTTGTCTGTAAGCAGTTTTAGTATTTTTTGTGTCAATTTCTGTTTTCCTTTGAAAAAATGTCGTTCTTATGAATTCTGTCTCAACTATATTTCAAGCAATAAAAATCTTACCGTTTAATATTGATGTAGCAAAGTTCAATAATTTTTCATACTCTTGGACTTTAAACTTGTCAAAAATACAATTCAATTGAGACAATTATGAAGCTTAATAAAGTCATAAAAAGTTCACAATGATTGTAACCAGTGATTGAAGGTAAACATTTTTCGCATTTTCTTACAAATTTGCATTGATCTTTCAAAATTCTTCGAAATTTGTTTCTGTCTGTGAAATTCATTTGCGTTTGTGTTGTAAAACGTATTATTTTTTCGATAAATAGGTAATCAAATATAATGTGTAACAGAACCATTCTTATTCACAACACTTTTTTTTTCTGTTTTTCTGTTTTTCAACTAGAGAAGGAAAGAAAAGAAAATAATATATGACTCATTACTGATTGTTGAGTATTGCATCAGAGATATACGATAGTATATATAGAATAGACTGAAAATGAAAAAAACCATCGAGCAATATCAATGGGTGGTAACGCGTTAAAAAATGTTCAAACTCGTCGTTATAAACGAGACGAATATTTTGCTTTAAAACAAAAAGTATTAGAATTGTTGAAACCATATGGAGAAAAAATTGGTGTTCCTCAAGAATTTCCCAATAAAGAATCATTTGGTGATTTAGATGTTTTATTTGTACTACAACAACAACAAGAACAACAAAAATTCAATGAGAATGATATGAAAATATTTTTAAAAGATTTATTTCATTCACAAGAAATTATTTTAAATGGTGATGTTTATTCATTGGATTATGAACAATTTCAAATTGATATTATTTGTTGTAAACGAGAAAATTTTGATAATTGTTTAGTCTATTTATCGTATTCTGATCTTGGTGGACTAATTGGAAATATTGTAAATAAAATTGGTTTAAAATATGGACAACAAGGTTTATGGATGAATGTACATACAAAAGAATTTGATCCAACAACAACATCAACACAATTGATTTTATCGATTAATGTTGAAGAAATATTTTCATTTTTAGGTTATGATTATGAAATATATAAAAAAGGTTTTGAGAATGAAGAAGATTATTTTTCATGGATAAAATCATCAAAATATTTTAGACGAATATATTTTAATGAAGACTATTTAAATCATGCAAATCGATCACGTGTACGAAAACGACCAATTTATTTAAAATTTTTACAATATTTAGAAGATAAGAACGAATTAGATAATAGAGAATTAATAAGTGATGATGAAAAACTTCTTATACGTCAACATGCATTAAAGTATTTTAATAAACAACATGAATACGATTTGGGCATACAACAACGTCAAGAAAAACAATTATTTAGAGAAAAATATTCAGGAAAATATTTTATTCAACATGTACCAAAAACTTCTATTCAGCATCATATGAATAATTTTCAACAACAATTTGGTAATGAACAACAATTTCATCAATGGGTATTGGAAAATGATCAAAAGACAATTGAAAATGAAATTGAAAAATATCTTAAGAGCATAAATGACGAGAAGAACAATGTGTAATGAATACTCATAATTCATTTTGTTAAAATATTCTAAGTTTCAGTGTAAAAATTACTTGATGTTGTTCCAGTATGTTAGTAAAAAATTCGCACAAAATTAAAATTCTTTCTATTTGCATATGTTTTATTTTTTTACGATATTCAAATATCTCATAGAGAAATTAGTTCTTGAGTACGTTGAAGTTTCAATAAATTAAGACACTTTTATTTTTGAAAAAAAAGAAACAAAACGCATGCATATAGTACAAAATATTTGTAAATAGATTATCACTAACAAAAGAAAAAAGAGAAGTGATCTGACATTATTGGAAAAAAAAATTTTTTTTTTTCGTGTTTTCTCTTCGAAATAAATAGCACAAAAAACATATTTTTAATAAAAGAGATTTAAGAATTATGTTCTTGTACGTTTATATTTTTCTTCGATTATTTTTATGTCAGCATTTGTCTGAATCCATTCGTGTATACGTAATTTATCTAGTGGAGGACGACGTTCAACATCACGATTAAGAATCTAAATAGAATGTATATAGATATAAAATATACAAAAAAACAAAAATATTTTACACATTAAAAACTTACTAATCCAATAAATTGTTGAGCAAGAACGGATATTGCTGATGAGGGAATTTTATTCATTGTTCCTTTTTTAATATTTGAGATTGTTTCTTCAGATGTTTCATGTTCAAACGGTGGATTTCCAAGTAACAATTCATAGGTTAATATACCAATACTCCATATATCAACACTTTCATTGTACGGTTTATGTTCAAGCATTTCGGGAGCCAAATAATCCATTGTACCACAAAGTGTTTGTCGTCTAAAGAATAAATATAATTATATATATTACATATTTCTTTCTTGCCGTATATGTGTACCTGTCCTGCTGATTTAATTCAGCTGCCCATCCAAAATCAGCTAATTTTAATAAACCTTCATTTCCAACGAGAATATTTTCTAATTTAACGTCTCGATGTATAATCTGATTTTTATGACAATAATCAAGTGCGTTTATAATTTGATAAATATACTAGAAGGATACAAAAACAATACAATATTATCATTGAGAACTTAATTAAGTTTAATAAATAAACTTACTTCAGACGATATTTTCTCATTGAAAACACCATGTTTTTGTAATTTTTTATATAATTCTCCTCCAACAGCAAATTCAATAATTAAATATACTCGTTCCTCATCGTAAAACGAACCGTATAAACGTAAAATATTTGGATGTCTAAATAATGAAAAAATTTACAAATATTAATATTTTAACATTTTTTTAAGTCTAAAATTTACTTTAAACGACTTTGAATGCATATCTCATTAAAAAGTTGTTTAGCCAAACGTCGTGTTGATATTTGATTTTTGATGATAGCCTAAAATAGCAACAGAATTATTTCAAAGACTTATATATTGAAATTTGTGGACAATGAGAAGAAAAATCTGCGAATGATCAACTGAGAGATCTTCAGTCGGTGTTAACTAGCAGAAATTTCATCTGTATTATAATACTTTCCTATAGGTTTATTCAAATTATTCAATAGAACGAGACGTACTTTAAGTGCAACAATGTATTTTGTTTTCTTTTCTCGAACACAATACACATGTCCAAATCGTCCCTTTCCTAAAGGTTGACCAACTTCAAAATCATCCAGCGTCCATAAACGACTAAAAAAAGGGAAAATGAAAGAGAGAGGAGGATGATGTCTATTTATTTTTTATTCTTAAAATGTTAAATTACTCTGATTTATTCGTTGAATTTAATTTTGTAGTTAATATATCAAAACATTGTTCACTAGTAACGGAATTTTTTTTCTGATCACATGACGAATTTTTAGTCGATTTCGAATCTGGTAAAAAATACTTCCTTAAATATAAGAAAGAAAACATAAATATTATTTCGAAACATAAATGTTTAAATGATACTTAATACTTACATTGGTAATGGATTATTCATTGCCGCTGTCAAACTGTCAACACCATTTTTATTTGATAATAGAGGCTGAACATCCGTAGATGAAGAAGTTGTTTGCATCTGAAACCAGAAGACCTAAATGTTTCTCGTATATCTACATATGAGTCTAACTTTTTTTTCTTTTGTTGTCTGTAATAGGAGAAAACGTTAATGAAAAACTGTATACTTTTACTCAAAAATTTATATCAGACTGAATCAAAGCAGAAAAAAAAATCATCTGTTTTAACAGTACGATAATTAAATTGAACAGTAATAACAACAAAAAATATCTGACAACAGTTTAACCGAGATTGTAGACAGAATAAGACATATATACAAACAACAACAAAAAAAAATAATATTTATCGAACAAAATCTGTATAAATTATCACATGCACAAAACGATTGTTAAATGACAAAAAAATACGTCTTATTTATTTAATGTTGATTTACGTTTAATATAATTTTCTTCAATTGATTTAATATCAGCATTTTTGACTATCCATGAATGTTGAATAACATCTTTTAATGGTAAACGTTCAATGGGATTTCGACAAAGTAGCTGTAAAATAAATAAACGAAAAAGCGATGGTATTAGTTTTTATTCAACTTATTAAATATTTTCATAGATTTAATTTGTTGCTGACTAGGAAAAGAAAGAAAGAAAGAAAGAAAATATGTTGTCATACTATAGTACGTAATCTTATCTAAATTGTTGTCTTATAATTAAAACAAAATGCAGTCAACTCAAAACGAAACATGGAATTTGATGTAGAGGAAATAAACGGTTATTAATTTACTTTGCTGATCAAATCTCTGACATCATGCGATGTTGTTATTGGAAAATTTAATTCAATTGAGCGAATGAGACGTATTGTTTCATGTTGTGATTGACTGTCAAAAGGTGGTTTACCAATAATCTGTAACATACAAAAAAGCATTAGGAAAATATATTGTTATCTGATTTTTAATCAATTTTTACCATTTCATACGTTAAAACGCCTAAACACCACAAGTCTATTTTTTCATCATAACCACGTCCATCTAACATCTCTGGAGGAAGATAATCTAATGTGCCGCAAAGTGTAGTACGTCTAGATCAATACATCATTATTAATCATATACTTTAGTACTTCCCCTCACCTTCCTCTCTTACTTGCATGCAGTTGTACTCTCAGCACTCCAACCAAAATCAGCTAAAAAAAGTTGTTTCATATTATTTATTTTAAAATACGATTAGTAATAAAAAAAGATCTAACTTACCTAATTTAAGTATACCATATTTCCCCACGAGAATATTTTCAGGTTTTATATCACTAATTAGAAAAATAAAAGTTAGTCGTTAATTGATAGCACGATAACAACAACCGCAGCAAATAATTACCGATGAATAACACTTTTGCTATGCAGATAATTAAGCGCATTACATAGCTGATAAATATACTGAAAAAAAGAGAACTGAAGAGTAATAGATAGTCACAAAGTAGAAACAACGTACACCAGCTGCTTCAGATTCCATTAGAACTTTTTCTTTTTGCATACGACGATACAGTTCTCCACCGGGTGCATATTCTAATAGTAAATAAATACGTTGATCATCATGAAAAAATCCATATAAACGCAACACATTCGGATGCCTAAATAATGAAAGGGAAAAATTTGGATGAAGTAAAGATTATAATAAGCGCTTAAACGTTCGTCAAGCTTTTAGTTATCGTGCCCAAAACGTTTTGAAGAGCTGAAGACTCGAGAAGATGAAAAAAGTAGAGATTTTGAATATATTATTCATTATTCCGATATACGCAGCAAATTGTACTAAGTTTAATTTTTAATAGTTGCGATTGAGATCTTCATTTTTACTTTAAATTGGATTGAATTTCTATTTCTCTTTTAACTTGTTGTTCCATTTTTGAATTTTTTAGTTGTGTTTTGAATAAAATCTAAATAAGATAAAATATCGTTCGTATTTTTTAATGCAATAAGTTCTATGTCTACTTTCAACGCTACGAGAAATCGTGTTCGTTTTTCTCTTCCACAATAAACATAGCCAAACCGGCCTTTTCCTAACGGTTGACCAATTTCAAAATCGTTTATTGACCAAGACGTTGACGTCCTACAAAAAAACGAACGGTAAATAGATAAAGTAACTTATAACAAACACTTACTCATTCTTTGGTTTTGTTTCGTGATTTGACTTACACGTTTGCTTCTCTCTAAACAGAAAAAAAAAGAAAATAGATATACGAGAAGGAAGTGGTGGACTTTCTTCAAAGCAATAAAATTCAGAGTGCAATAGCAGTCTTTTGGATTCTTTATCAAAATACTTCTGGCTGTTATACCCATGCTCCAGTAGATCGCTATCTATCGATCAGATTACTCTAAACTAATTAACACTTTTACATACACTAATGGTGGTAGAGGTTGATTTTCTTTTTTGTCTTCAAGAGGTGATCCTTCGTTTAATTTTAACGCTTTCAATGATTGTATATCATTTAACGATGAAGACGTTGTTTTAGATTTGATTGGTGCGGGGATTTGTTCGATAGATGGATGTTCAATTTGTTTAATTGACGTTAATATAGCATTGTTACTACTGCTTTTGATAATAGGTGTTTTATCAGTATTATGCGACGACGAGGGTTTTCCAGAGAAAAAACGTTTGATTACAGACATTTCTGCAAGAAAAGAAAGAGAATCAAGGCATTTGTAATGATAATTGGTTGAAAGAGAATCTACAAAAGACGTGCGAGTGAACATATTGAACATTGATTTATAGAAAAATAAAAGTATTCAACAGTTAAGTCGCATATGATTAAAGCAAAATTTCTTTCTTCCATAACCCGCCCGATAAGGCATTTCCCACACATCGCGCTTCACAGCAAATACGAAATTATGAGCAAAACATGGAATAGAATCACGGTAACTCATATGAATTTACTTATGCAACTAGGAATCAATGTAATTTTAAGACCTATTCTGTCGTTGAATTAAAGAAAGTAGTTTGTCATACTCGAAAATGATCACTCTTTTTTCCAAAATTAATGGTGAAGGGATATATCTTTCTTATATATTTGTTTCTGACGAGAGGTGTCGCCACCGTAAGATCTTTGAAACAATAGTTTTGGCTAACTCCGTCATCGAGTTTATATAAGAAATTAATGAAACGAATGTATTAAGAATAGATAGAGTAGTTAAATAGTTGGAAGGGCTTAGAAGGCAAAAGCGTCATAGTAACCTATAATCCAGGGTAATGGTTACGTATTTTTTCTTTTAATTCCGTTTGGCAGATGATGTGTGAAACAGACTATATAGTGTTAACATTATAGAACAACCGACTGAAAAAAGAATAACTGTAGAATAAGATTGAATAATGTCATCATTGCAAGATGAACCATGTAAGACGCATTTTTTTGCTTTGTGCATGTTTTCAGTTTGATTCTTGTATCTTATAGACTACTGTAGTGAACAAATTCCGATTCCTCCTGAATTACCCGATATATTATTGCAGTTTTCCAAAGCTGCAATACGAACTCAGCCAACCGATGTTCTTGCATGGAGTGCTGCGTAAGATTAGAACTTGTTGTGACTTCCTTTAAGCCTCTCTTATATTTAGGTATTTTCGTGCTTTGACGAATGGCGAGACGCCTCCTGTGAAAGAGCGGCTCGAAAGGCCTGTCGCAACTCAGAAAACAGACACTGGTCTCACTATTGGATTGCTGAAAATTCTTCATAGACAAGTAAGTAGCAATAAGATATTAGACATTAGTTTTTTTGCCTACTTATTTATTAGAGAGGTGATCATACGGTTTTTTATTCTTTTATCTCTTTTCTTCTGCTTAATACGAAGTTTTTCGATTAGATAGAAGACTGAGACGATTCGTCTTACGAGGAAAGGTCCCCAAGTGTGCAGTCGCTTTTGCTTGTACTCTAGTGGACAATAGGTAATAGACTGCGCTAAATCCAAATCTGACATCGATTTGTACTCCTAGGTCTCCAGAGACCTTGTAAAACAAGATTTTCAAAAACTCTGAAAAGTAATCCAAACCTTTCTTAATGAGGCATGGTTGTAGACCGCAAATTTCTGATTAAATGAGACATCTCCCAGCTCTACATGACCTTTCTTTGCAAAGTTATAGAATTTACACGAAAAGTCCTAAATATTCATTGTCAGCTCAAAGCTACAGAAATAAGAAGAAATTAATTTAGGGCTCTTCGTGTAAATTCTTACAAAGAAAGGTCATGTAGAGCTGGGAGATGTCTCATTTAATCAGAAATTTGCGGTCTACAATGATGCCTCATTAAGAAAGGTTTGGATTATTTTTCAGAGTTTCTGAAAACCTTGTTTTACAGAAACCCGGTCTCTGGAGGCCTAGGAGCATCACCCGATGTCAGATTCGGATTTAGCACAGTCGATTATCTATTGTTCAAAGCAAAAAGCAATTGCACACTTGGGGACCTTTTCTCGTTAGTTTAAATGCTGATTTAGTATTTGTAGCCTTTTTTGGTCCCTATCCCGTAGAAAAGTGTTCGGTTCCGATGAAAAATTTGGCCATAGAACACGAAAAAATTTTCTGCCGCTGATGGAATGTTCAATGCGACTTTTTTCTTTTCCTTTTTTGCGTTATAGAGCTTTCTACGGCCTTGCAAGAAAAACAGGTTTGAAACTCATATTAGAATTTGATTCTACAACGAAAGTTTTACTTTTAGGGGATCAGTTTTTTCGTGCCTAGTTTCGGTTCCGTCGGGGGATGATGTATGTACAGACACAGAAAAGAATTCCATAAGTTTTGAAAGAAGCAATATGGGCAGAAATCCTTTTATGCTTTGTACTAGGATACTATCCTCTATCTATCGGTAAAAGATCACTGGAACCGGAGGTTATCACCTGAAGATGTTCTCTCGTTAGTGGGATAAAACCTGTAGACAACCGCAGTTCGCGGTTAATCAGAAGGTAAAGCACACATTCAACGGTTTTTTATTGGTTTTATAAGCATGGATTAGTTGTTTAATGTGTTCGGGGTCTAATCTTCTTTGGATTATTTCAATCGGTTAGTTTCTATTTAGTTATCACCCAAAAGTATGGTACCTGTTGAAGAAATTCAACAGAAATTTGACCAGTTGAATATTCCACGTGAACAATTCGACGATATCGTTCAAATAGGCGCATTTCGTGGCGATGTGCAATGGAATTTATTTTTAGCAATTGCTGTTTCAAGACTAGCACGAGTAACTCTACTTATTTGACTAGTGCCTTTTGTGAATTACAATGAGCGACCTTGTCTTCTTTTGTAGGATATAACGGATACATTAGCGAAATTATGCGAACTATTAACAAGTGATCCGCCAGGTGCAAATGCACGAATACCATTTGAACAGTGGAAAGAATTTTATCGATATTTAGCTGAATTAGATGGTGATATTTCACAGAATCATGTTAAAGAAGTAATTGATTACTTGGCAAATGAATGGGTTATTCGACAAAATGGCATGGTTCATCCAAGAAATTTTACTCATCCAGAATGTCCTAAATTGGCATCATAATTTGCTTTTTTCAACTAATTAATGAACTTTTGAGCTTTGTTGCGTGTGTAACTGCGTTTTATGTGCGTTTATGTTTTTTCTGAAAAATTAATTATTTATTACATATCTCTGTTGAACAGTGCTTTTTTTGTAGTTGTTTTGTATATTATTGTTGTATTATCGTCAATATAAAATCTGTTTCAATAATAGAACCATGCGAGACTTCAGTGTTCTGTCGTTTTAGACAATAATCAAGAAATGGGCATCTGACTGTCTTTTTTTTTGCCACAATGTAATGATCAATTTGATCATTACATTAAGAGTTCGAAAATTTTCTCAGGACCTTTATCGTACTCGAGAGAGAAGCAGTAATTTGCCATCAGAAATGTTTTCGAAAAAACAAGAAAACAAAACATGTTTTGTAGGACACCCAAAATATTCCCTGCCCTTTGAGAGAGTAAACATTTACTTCATCACAGATACCAATGGGCACATCTAGCAGTCCTTTCTCTCTTTCTCATATTTAATCCATTAAGGCAATTTATCTTAACTTTTTCTCTAAAAGCATTTTCTTTGTATCGTTACTTTAAAGATGCTTAGTTTTATTCAATATATATTAGTGAATCTTTCCCAGCATTAACACTTTCTTTTATTGTGCGTATCGTCTATAGGATTATTAATCTCAATTGCGCTCGTTATGGAACATGTTTATCTTGGCACATGAAAAAAAATAGTAGATTGAACAAAATACTTACTATTGATGCTCTTATTTGATAATAAATTTTTTTTCTCTTCTATATAGCCTAACTAGTTTTCTTATCTATTAACGTATGTATCTGTTATCTTTTTGCTACACATTCGATGCCAGATGTATAAATAACAAATTAGTTTCGCTATACATTTGTGTAAACATTAGTCTGAATAGTATTTAAGCAAAAAATAGAAATTATGGATGTACCGAGCCATAATCGGTAGAAAATTTTTTTTTGTACAATAAAATTCTTTTATATTCTGAAGAAGAAACAAGAAGAGAAATAATATATTACTAATGTTTTCATCATCAAAGCCATAGTCTGATTATCTGTGTACTAGCACTTTCATTGGTATCACTTTCGAATAGGCCATACATAGCAGAGAAACATGGAACAAAAATCTCCATATATTACTTGTTCTATCATCATTAGGAAAAAAGAAGAACGCAGAGGAAAAGTTGTGTATATATATATATTTATAGAGATGTTCTCTTTTTTTTTGCATTTAATGGCATTCTTGTTATTTTTTTGTCTTCCTTATTGTTCTTCTAAATTTATCGGTATAGAATATATAGTTTTCCCAAATAAAAATAACAGCCTCCTGCGCTTTTCTTCGAAAAATATATGCAGATGAAGGAAATAATTGAGGCTTGAATTTAATAAACATGAAAATAAATTGTATAAATTAGAAATTTTAATTACCTTTTGTTATCATGTGTGAATGTCATCAAGACGTGGTTAATGAAACACAATGTTTAGAAGTGAATAATCACTTTTCATTTTGGCTGTACAGGTACGTCTTAACTAGTCTCTCTCATTTCCGATGTTAAACTTTTCTATTTTAAAAAAAATATTTTTGAATTATTAAATGATAAAAAACTACATCAATTCATCTTAAAGACCGTGCTCTATTAAAAAAGTTTAAAACATATGAATCCTGTTTAGTGAAAAAAAAAATGATTGATAATTAAAAGCCTAAAAAATCTTTCATCTTTAGATGCTCAAAAATATTAGATCTGATACTATAAAAAATGGAGATGAGAGAAAATATTTTTTTGAATATTAATATTCATAAATATATATTTTTTCATATTCTACGAAGAAAAACGTGTTAATCATTGGAAACGAATAAGGTTTCTCGTAGCGTTAAAAGTAGAACATAGAACTTTATTGTATTAAAAAATATGAACGATATTTTATCTTATCATTGAACTTTTAAGTTATCTAAAAATATTTTTCAAATTTTTATTTAAATTTAGAATAGAGAAAATAAGAAAATAAGTCAAGATTAATAAAAGATAATTCTTCTTCAAGTTGTCTAGATTGTAAAAGAGAATCATAATATTATTCTTAGTAAAATAAGAAGAAGGAAAAAGAAAAATGTATTTCCGAACAAAGATAAAGAACGAATCTAAGTCAATAAATATAAAATTCAAGTGTTCATATATAATACACATATTTATTAAACTAAATTTGACTATTTAGTGTTTAATAGATATTGATACTATTGAAGAATGAGATTAAAACTCTTCCTTCTTCATTATCACTTCCGGTTTATTATTATTATTACGATTAATTTAGTCACGAAATCTACTATAACAGGATTTTGAAAGTCTGTATTTATTATAATATAAATTCTATTCATAGTCTAGTTTTTTGTTTTTTGACACTGATATATTAGTTAGTAGTTCAAATATTAAAAAAATCATATTTTTTTATATACTGTAATTTTATTAAATCATAATAGAATCAATCATTTTGATGTTAATATTTAAATTTTTAGAGATGGTAAAATTGAAACATTAAATGTAGTTATTCGACCAATGATTTTGAAAGAAATTTATGATGTCAAATCAATATTAGTTGAATGTCCATTTTTTAAACGTTCAATTATTGATTTTTCAATTTATTGTTCATTTAAACCAAAACATAACTATATTATGATGTCAAAAAATATGATATTATCACATGCATCAATAACAAAATGGACGGAAAAATATGCATTATTAGGCATCGTATTTGTACGTAAAGATTATCGAAAATTTGGTCTTGGTGAATTATTAACAAATTATGTTTTAGAATTAATTGAACAAAAATGTGTATCATCGATTCACGCTAATGTTTTAAATGATCATTTACCATTTTATATACGATATGGTTTTAAAGCGTCCTTTACTATCATTGGTTTCTCGGGAAAATTAAATGAATTTTTATATTTTGAACCATTAAAATCTCAAATAATTGAAGAAGAAGATCAAATTCAAATTGAACTATTTGAAATTACTGATATTTTAGATCTTGCATCATATGATAGAACCATTTATCCAACATATAGAATTAATTATTTTGAACAATTACGCGAACATACAGTATCGATTGCTGGATATATTGCAAAATCATCGAAAGATGGCACTATTTATGGTTATGTAATTTTAAATTTTTCTCAAGATTACATAAAATGTGGACCATTATATTGTGAAAATGAACATATAGCAATGAGATTGTTAAAACAATGTGCAATAGATTATGATGGAATCATGCTTTTATGCATACCAGAAGATAATAGATTAGCCATAAAAATTTTTGAAAAAAAAGGTTTTAAACGTACAGATATTTTTCATCGTGTTCATTTGGGAAATATGTTTGAAACAGATTTTCAGAAAGTATGGTCAATTACAGATGATTGGTTTTGTCTATTGTAGTAGAAATACTTGCGCTACTATAAAAACCTTCTTTTTACTGATAGTCTGACGCTCAAAATTTGCAGACAATAATAAAACGTGCGTACCTTTGCATACCGCTCTTGAAACGTTATGCATAAAAACTAATTATAGTTATAAAGTTGACCTTTGAAATGATGTCTACTTGTGTATCTTATCTTCCTAGAACAGAGTATTCTGCCACTTATTTGATTTTTTGTACCTTTAGACATTAATTATAGGGTGCTAAAAGGTGCTCTTAATCATACTTTGTTTTTTAACTTGTTTTGTATAAACGACTGTTGTTCTTTTTAATATGTAAAAATGTACTCTTTATAATACTGACGATGTAAATATTATATGTGATTTCTCGGATGGCATAATAAAATACTCGAAATAGGCTAAACAACGAAGAGTTAGTAGAATAAAACTCTTACCCATTAAAAGAAAGAAAGAGATACAAGAAATGAATGCATACTGTCTGAAATGCAAAACTCAAAAGCATTAGATCACGGAAAAAAAGATGGCTCAAAGTTACATTACATATTTGAATATTTCGGATAGCAACTAGCGAAAACTGTATGTTGTGCGACATTTGCCCATTCGCTTAACCAATTAATGGAAGGAGAAAGAAACTGCACGAAACGACAGAAAAAAAATGATATACATAAGTTGCTGCTGCTGCTGAAACAACATGTAGATAGTACAATTGTGCAATTGAGGAATTTGTAGTGTTGCTCACTGAAACTGTTGTGATAGACAGATGGGAATTTCATCCTCTCGTTTCTGATCAGAAACACAATATGTATTTAGTAGAGGTTCGGAAGATAAGAGAAATTTATTGTCTGGAGAACATATCAAGTCTTGTCTCATATTTCTTATCTTTAGTTTAGTCTCTGTTCTCTTTTACTCTGTACTTGTGTAGAACTAAGCGCATTCTTATAGAACGCTTGTCTGAGTTCATATAAATAGTGAATTTTCTGTTTTTTAGATACTAGTTTTAAACCTATTACATCATGAATTCAATAACGTAAGTAATTCTTTTGAATAATTAAAAGAACTCTATAAGTGTGTTTGATTTGTTTTAGAAAGGCTCGAGCATTAACTAATTTAAATGAAAAAGAGTTGGAAAGTGGTGCAGCTAATACGGAAAAAAGTTGGCACAATGTTTATCGGAAAAGTGCATGGATCTACGTTGGTGGATTAGATTTTCAATTGACAGAAGGAGACGTTCTATGTGTATTTTCACAGTAAGTGTTAATTTAGTTCGCTTTAATAAAAATACGAATCAAATTTCTTTTGTAGATGGGGTGAAATTGTGAATGTAAACATGTTACGTGATAAAAAAACGGGTAAATCAAAAGGTTTTGCATTTATTTGTTATGAAGATCAACGTAGTACAGTATTAGCCGTGGATAATTTTAATGGTATTAAACTAGCGGGACGTCCAATAAGAGTTGATCATGTTAAAGATTATAAACCACCTAAAGAACATGAAAATGACGATGATTTAGCTAAAACGTTAAAAGAAAAAGGTTGTGCACCTGGTGTTGTTCTTCCACCACCGTCTTCGTCAACATCATCATTCAAAACAGATCAAATTAAACAAGAACCAAAACGTTTTAAAAGATAAACTGTTGTTTTTGTTAATTTTTATTATTTTTTTGTACAAATTATATAGAAAAAAAATTCTAACCATATCAGTTGCCTTTTGTGTAACTATGATAAATAGTATGACAAAAATTGTATCCTAGCAAACGTAATTTAATACTTTCTCAAATACTTACTAAGTTTTTTCAAAATTATGTACTTGATAAGTAACAGTTATTCAAGTATATATAGATAAAATTATATTTAGAAAAATAGCAGGAACATGGCTCATTGTTTGTATGACGTACTTTTTTAAGTGCTTATAAAACAATTGATACAAATGTGGGAAAAGCATCTTCATACGTCTTTCTAGATGGTTGTTTTTCATTGTAATGGATGTGGTGAAGCACTTAAAAAAAGTCAAGTTGATAAACATTTATTGACTGCATGTAGAAGTGCACAATCAGTATCTTGTGTTGACTGTGGCAAAGATTTCGGGTATGAATACCGATGAGAAAAAATATTTATTTGAGTTTATTAACATGATTTATTTTTTAGTCGACAAGAATATCAAAATCATGTCAAATGTGTTAGTGAACAACAAAAATATGGTGGAGCCAATTATGTTGCTAATTCTAATTCGAATAAAGGAGAAAAGAAACAAGAAGGATGGTTTGAGGTATGTCTGTCACTTTTTACTCACTAAGTATTTTAAAACATCTAGATATTCCATTCTGCTTTTTAGATTGTTCAATCAGCCATAAATCAAAATTCTGGGGGTCCACAAGCAAAAAATTTACTGCAAAAATTACAAAATTATCCAAATACGCCACGTAAACGAGCAAAATTTATTGTACGTATAAAACGTATGCTACTCTTTCACAGTATACATGTATAAACTCTTGTTTAATTTCTCTTAGAATTTTGTCAGTAACAGTATTAGAGGTTTTCAACCTCGAATCGTCGAAGAAGTCTGGACAATTCTTGAAGCATTACTACCAAAAGTACGTAACAAATTATATTTTTGCAAGTTTAATGTAAATTCAGATTTTTCTTACAGAACACGAATCAGCCAAATAATAACAAAAATGAATTAGCTCAAAGTAGCAATGGACTAAAACGACCAATAGATACGTCAGACGACGAAAGTAAATTAGCAAAAAAGATAAAAAACGATAATGATAAAATACCAGGTAAAATAACTTATCTCTTTCCTCAAGACATAAGAAAAGATCTTTCGTGCTTTATTGTTTTCCACCTTCCAGTTTCGTTTAGTCTTTTTTAATTCATCAGATGCGTTAAATTGTTCTTTCTAAAATAATTTGTTTAGTTTTTGAGATGATGCAGATAACTAGAATTTTTTTCACTTTTCATCAATTAATTTCTGTACATTTTTTGTTGAAAACCAGGTTAGAAACGGATGTTTCTTTAAGATATTTTATCTGATGAGATTTGGCGTTTAATAACAGTTTCATCTATCATTTAATTCTGTTAGTTATTTAAGGAATGTGATGTACTTATTTTGAGCATGATTTTACTGATGTACATATAGTGTTGTCGATTTTTGTGTAAGATAAGCAGTTTGGCTTATGGTGTTCGTCACGTACGACAAGTGTTGTGTTCGAACCGCAGCACCGGCATGTCATACACTAATCTTAATACTAAGTTATTTATCCTCATGTATCTCGGATCTGAGGCATACTTGCTTCATTGTAACGTACAGCATAGGTTTTCCGACCTACTAAAAAGTTCGTATAAAATTTGTTATCATTCTACATCGGCAATGGATGGTTTCACAGTATTACTTTTCTTCTTCTTTGTGCCTTAGATGAATATCTGTTTGGTAAAGCGAGCTCTTTTCAACTCTTATGCCTTGGCAACTGTCGAGTTAGCATAATTGCTTCTAGAAACCTGTACAGGTTGAGAAAATCGAGCCCGGTCGGATGAAGTTCAAGTCGAACCCAATTCAATTCGAGGATCATATCGTTCTATAGGTCTTCAGTATAAAGAAGCATATGCAAATATGTTTTAACACACCATTTTTAATAATTGTGGAAGAATTACTGCTTTAAAAAGCTTTAAGTTAGCTTATTACCGATCTTTAACATGAAATAAACCCATAAAAAATAGTTCGCAGTGTAAAATATTAATTTGAACCAATCGAGTAGTGGCGTCCTTGTTTACATACATCTTTTTATTATAGAGAACAATGAAGAACTTACACATTCAACAAATCCAAAATTTGAATGGTATCAAGAAATCAAGTTTATCTTAGAAAAAAGTTCGGACCGTACATTGTCTTTGGAAAAATTGAAAAAAAGAGTACGAATAATTTACTAAAAGTAAAACTTGTCATATTGACCATATGTTTTTTTAAAATTTTAGATTATGAAACGGTATAAAAAATTGAAACCGTCTGAAGAAAAAGAATTTAATGATATTGAAAAAAAATTAGAAAAAAAATTGCGTCGTGCACCGTTTATTGAAACATTAGATAATAATATTTATCGATTATTGGATGAAGCTCAATAGTATTTTTTCTGTTATCATGTTTATTCTTGATACTAACTAGTGTAATTGTTGTTTTCTATTGAAAAAGTAGGTGTCCAACCTACGGTGTTACTCAGTCTCTTGGTTGAGGATGAGGTTATCTGTTTATAATAAAAAGTATGCCTCATTTGTCTACTTCACAATTATACCGTAACGAATGATATTATCATTATGTATCGTGCATCTTGGACTATCCTGATGGTATCTTCATCATTTTTTCACTGTGTTCAAGAATTACGGCATCCCATTTTCGTACAGAAGCATCGGGCTGAGTTCAGATTTCTAAGCTGATTGCACGTGCCATTGGCAAGGCTACGTATAACTCTTCTTTCCCATTACATTGTTGTCTCAGATAAGGCCCCGTCTACCCGATTCATTCGCTACATAACTCACTGCTATTCTGTGGTGCGGCCTACATGAAAATTATCTTGTAAATTGTCACTCATTCTGAATAAGTTATGAATTTTTTGAACCTTTTTATAAAAGTAAGTAGTTGTCTAAAATCGATCAATGTAATACAATTATTCGACACATCAAGGAGATTTATCGTTATGCTTCTATATATTCTCTCTCTTGAAGGTGTCAGTTGAAGTAATCGATGTGTATCTGCTTTCATCTTTCTTTTTGTGACTGTTTCATTTCAAATTGTTGTTTGTGACACTTTGTACATTCAATTCTGACGTTTTCCATTATACATAAACAAGTGGGTTCATTAAACCATGATTTTTGCATGTATGTAATAATACGGTATCAATACTAACTAGAATTAAAAAACAGCTCATGATTTGGAGAAACTTTTCAAATATATTGCTCACACGTTGCTAGTCTTAGAGCATCATTAGACGTTTTTACTGTGATTATTTCTTCGTAACGTTGATATATTATATCTGTGTAATTTTTTAAATACTGATTATTTGTTTCTGCATGTATTTTATTTAGAATGTAACATAATTGTTTGTTGACAAGTTCTCGTTGCGTTCGATTATGAAAACCTCCAGCCTGAATAACATCATTTAGCAGCTTCTTTACACATTCGATTGCATACAAGCCTCAATACAGAGAGGCTTAGCTATGTGAATACTAGTAATCGCAGTTAGAAGAAAAAAAAGCTTACAAATTTCTACTTGTGTTGCGTATTTCATTAATTGCCACGAAAAATTTCTCAACCATAGCAAGAATCGATCGTTTTCTTCACTAAGTATTGCACGTTTTTCTAAAACTTTTAACAGTGTTTTATTTGCTTTTTGTATACTTCGTTTAATAATTTTTAAATCATTTACGGACGATTGAAATTGATTTAAATCATTGTAAAGAGAGCGAAATTTAGTTTTTAAGTCTTTCAAATGAACCAAAAGGTCTGAAATAAAGTTTAGTCTCATATCTGCATCACAATAAGGATATACCAAGTCTTAAAAACTTGCCATCCAGATCGCATATTCTCGATGCGAAAGCTCCCAAGTCATATCAAACATGATAAAAATTGTCTTCTGCATTTTTTTATCAAGTCTAGTATCTCTTTGCTCAATTTGATCAGTTCTAGCATCAGTCTTAGATTGAGCAAGGAAAAGTGGCTAAAACTGACATAAAGGCCCGTTGGGACTTGAGAGATTTTAGTATTCAGAATATGTGATCTTTGTGACAAGATCTAAAGGCCTGATACGTCCCTAATCACAATGTGAGATAGTTCTTACTAGAATTGAAGTATTTGTATCGGTTACGATTGTAAGGAGACAGCTCGCGTCTAGCTGAAAGAAAGAAGTCTAAGAAATATAAAACATCTGATGAATTCCACGTGACTAACTTTGTTCTGTGACTGATAATAGTTCGCTGTGATGAGTTTCTGAAAAAATAATTTTTGATAATATTGGTAAAAACTTGTTTCCAAGAGAAAAAAACTTATAACTTGCAAACTTCAGCAAAAGATCAAAAGTTTTCACACTGACATTTTACCCTGTTCGCTTTTTAGTATTGAATTGTCATTGTTTTTTACTAGTTCATTGTAAATATTTGCTAATGATTTATCGGAATGTAATGCGATGGTAACTAGCTTTTTCGAACTTTTCTTTTCGCCTATAACTTTTTTTTGTCGATCCTTGACGTGTTCATTGAGGCTTTTTGTTAATTTCAGCAGCCGCTTATTGGATGATTGAGATGATGAAGGAAAACGTTTGCCGTACACTAATCGTTCATTCTGTTTCAAGCCATTCGAGTAGTTCGTTGCATAATTAGAATGTTCGTAGAAGACGGTATGTCTGTCGGAAATTCGCTGAGCTTGTGTTGGATGATAAGAAATTTTATCGGTTCGGAAATTCAAAGTTGCTCTGGCAACTAATTTAAACACAGAATACGCTCTTTATTAACAAGATCCTATAAGCGTTCTTAGAATAAGATGATACTTTATGAAAATTTTTCTAGAGTTATACATTAAATATCTATAATTAATTACCGCGTGCATATATTGAATTCATGTGTAAAATTCTGTTTCATTAATAAACATTCAAACAACGAATCTTCGGAAATCTTCTGTCGTTTTCAATTTTTCTTTGATATTATATACGAGCAGATGTTTCATCAGGATTTTGACCTTCGAACATATTTCGGCAAAAGAAAAGAAGAAAAAAATGTTGTCGATGTTTTCGACTTTTAAGTTTTTTTCAAAAATTGAACTTCTAAATCGGCGCGTAAGACTTCTACGTAAGCTGTAGATCAGTCAAGTTTTTCAGCAACATAGTGCTACTGCATATCTTTTGCTCTTTATAACGCCGTAGGCATTCATCGTGGCAACCTACAACAATAACATTGTTGGGCTCATTTTGTTAATTCATGCGTTGAACGAGGCTCAAGTAAAGGATTGCACCAGATAATAGTTAAATTTTCAATCTATCGATTATCACCATTGTACCATGGTTGGAAAACCCGGATTCTGCAGTTATCAAATTTTAGTAACAGTTGATTTTCAACACAACAAGCCTTGATCTCTTTTGTTTTACGTTGGTTTTGACCTTTATTAGCTTTGTACTTCATACCGGCAAATGCTTTAACGGCATTACTAAATTATTGATCCGTTACCATGACATCTTAAGCATCATACTAATTAGTTAATGAATAGATATAGATATCTACTGCTAACAAAATTCGTTATTAAAGAATATCAGAAAACTAGAGGGTATAACAAATAATTTGTAATATGAAAAAAAATAAGTAATATAACACTATCGTAAATAATGTGATTATTTTATTAAAACGTAACAGAATTTGATTCAGATACATGAGTTTAAATTACTTGTGTTGTTTCTTCTTCAATACACAGAAGCTTTGTAAAAGATTGTAATATTGCTTTTGGTAGTGAATTACATGAGAATGCTCCCTTATAAGTAAAGTATATCCTTTGAAAAAGCGTATCCAAGAGTTCTGAAGCGAGAAACAAAATCATAGTTAGTATTTACATTCGTTCAACTTTATTTTCTATCTATTTCTGATTACTATTTAGACACATTTTTCAAGTTTGATCTAAACATCCTTGGATTCTAATTCATAATTCTAATACATTAAAAAGATCCTATCGGTTTTTCAGCAAAAACTCGCCTGTCTCAAAATTATAATAACCGTCGTAAAATTTTGTTTTGATACGCATATGTTTTGGCCTTGATATCAATAAAAATCGTTTCTTTCAGTCAGTTTTCACTTCTTATAAAAACCAACAATATATTTGAAATTCTGAAATAATTGAAACTGTGTTGATTGAGCTACTTTGACAGTGTTCAATATCTTAAGGCATATCACAATGACTGAATAACTTTACAATACTCTTTTTGCCATATAAAAGAATATATAAGAATAAACAAGCTGACAAACGACCGAGATCTGTTTTGTACTTTATATAGGGTTTTCGCTGCTACAAACTCCACTATTCAGATTTTTCCTATGTAGCATTTTACTGTGGTTTTACTACTGTAGTTGATGACTCGTAAAAAGTACACGCACGTGTGAGCAGTTAAAACGTGACAGGACAGTTTAAAAAGTCCAAATTATACGTACAGCTTTTGTGTTTTCCATAGAATGAAAAGAAGTTTTGCACAGCTTTGTTGTGCATTTGTAGTGACTTATTCTAGTCAGCTGCTTTTTTTTTTATTGATCCGATAATAACGTTTCGTGGGAAACCAAAACACTAAAGAAGCTGAGATGAGAATTTAGTATTGTCAGGTACACTTAGTCTTTGTCGCATTTAATCGATGATTTCTCCTTTCTCAAATACTTTTTCTGCTATATAGTCATATTTACTTATATTGAATATGACGAATGAGCTTAGAACATGAGAAAAATAACAGTAAAGGACAGCTGACTACAACAAATCATTACATAGCCTAGTGGAAGGTGTAAAACTCCTTTCATTCTATGACGGGAAATTAATCCTACGGAAATTAATTTGTGGCTATTCCGTGTGATTTGAACGAAATGGTTATATTTACCCCACGAAAAATGACAGTGTGGCTATAATTACCTATATATAGGTAATTATAACCACACTGTCGATCTATAGCCGATTATAATCGGCTATAGATCGCATACAGCGAAAAAAATGACTGTTTCCTTTGATTGTAGCAAAGTTCAACTAATTAATTAACAGCAAGTCCAACTGACTGGCAACTCACCAACGAAATAGAGAACAAAATTCTCTACAAGATGGACTAATTTTTAATTAAAAAGGTAAAAGTCACCGTTGGATCATAGTTGATTTACATGCGTCCCAACTATTTTTGCTGTAGTGGCAACTCCTAAATTACCCTAAATTGGGTAATTATAGCCGTTTAATAGCAACGAGCTAAAAATTGAATGGTACTAATTAACAGTAACGAATTTTCGAATAATTTTTACATCAGTGGATAGCTAGGAGTCCTATGTGTCTACCTGTGCAATACTATTGTTCTCCGACTGAAAATAGCCGAGCCATCGACAAAATGAGAAGAAGTTGAAACCGGAAA